CCCCCCCCCCCACCGCCGGGAACAAAATTGAATTTGTCGGGAATTCTTTTTATTATACGATAATAATATTTGTGTTAATTATGGGATTCTTCATTTTAAAAGGATGTCGGAGGTACTGACCCCCTGTGAGATACTATCCCCCACTGCAACCCATACAATCGCAATATAGAACACCCCGCACATACAGTAGCGCTGCCTGCACTAAACAGGTTTTAACCACAAAATTCGACAGCTTTGTAAGTACGACATTGCTGGACCCCGCTAGCGCCGCCCCTGGTCACAAAACAAATTACCTGTGTGTATGTTAATTACAGTATAGATATGAAAAATGCTGGTCAACACTGAGGTAGTTGATAGTTCACAAAGACATTTTAGAATAGATTAAATTTGAAAAACAACTTGTTTTTATCGTGGCAAGATTACTCTGCGACCTTGTTTAGTGGCGGATAAACCTCTTTGCATCGTTTATTCATGTTCGATTGGCATCTTTGGTGATTACAGGGTTTTGCGCATGGTTTTGCGAAGGATATGGCCTTTTTTTCTTTGATGACGGATGGCCCATGAATCCCCAATCGAATGTACCACTAAGTTGTGCAGGAGAGGGATATGGCATGCTGCCAGCCTCAAGTGTGCCATTGAGTGGTGTTGGCGGCGGGTATGCAATGCTTCCTCGTGTATCACCACTAAAAAATGACCAAATATCACTTACAGATCTTTCAGAAAAAGCCTATAATAGAAAAAACAAAATATTGGTCAAAAAATACACAAAGTATTTTCGCACGTGATGCTAAATGCGAATATAAATGTGTTATACAAGTTCAGGTCTATGGTATTTATCAGTCTCAGCTTCGGTGCAAAGAGCGTTGCCATGGTATTATTGCAAAGTGTGAAGCCTTTTTTTAAATGTAAATTTTAATACTTAAGTAACATGCAGTACTCCCTCACCCCATTTTTTGTGCAGTTAGTTTGTAAAATGAGTGACAAGACAAGATTATTTTCCATTACCATTGGAAGTGTAAAATACACAAAATAAGTATGAAAACATAGTACAGTAATGTATATATCGATGGAATGTTCAGTTGTTACAAGTGCTAAAATGGTTTCCTATGTCTATGTTTTATTTGCATTTAATAACACGTAGCCTATAATCTACTTACGTCGAGAGTAGAAATATTGCTTACCGTAGAACAAGGGTAACTTGTAACAGAACTATGTCCTCCTGGACTAGGAGGACACTGGCCACTCGTTTCTAGTGAGACATCATTCCACATAAATTTCTTATTTAATCCCCTAAAAATAATAGAACATTCAATTGAATTGTATCAGCAACATATACACAATAGGCCTACTAAAGTATCATTATTATATGCCTACATTTTGAAGCATTGCTTAAGATAAAGATAAGCAAGCAAAAATTGTAAATTTGGAGGACAGGTTAAGAAAGATTAGATCACAAAGGAAGTAAGGAAAAGAGAAAAAAAAAATGAGGAGACAATTGATTTTTCAAGAAACATGAACTATATTGAGAAAGAAAATGATTAAGTGGATACGCAGGTAATTAGAATGATGGACTGGTAATTAGAATGATGTATATTACCCAATGTTAAAGTAATAAATAATCGATAGAAACAGACTAAAATTTGTAAATTAACTAAAGGCAGAAAAAAACAGAATACTCACTTATCTTCTGCACCTTCACTAGATACAGCTTTAGATAGAATGAAAATAAATAAACATAATTGATGATTGTTCAACATATGATTTTTGTGAATTAAATTATTTACACTGAAGTTAGAAATTGTAATCTATATCGTTGGGGTTTTTTTTTTTTTACAACGCGCAACATGGTTTAAAAACGCCTTCTCAGTATGACATTTTAAAAATCCTGATTACCAAATTTTAAATTTCATTTATTTCGACCAATACACATTGCAATACAACATATTTTGGTCAGTGGTAGTTTAAGCAAAGTTTACATTCTCTTCCATGGTTAGAAT